CCCCAAAACCCCAAAACCCCAAAACCCCAAAACCCCTTAAATTAAAGAAATTGTTGAATTTATTTCTTGATTAAAGAAAGGACGTGATCGATCCTACAACTTTTACCTCGTGGGATGCTCCCTACACTCTTGTTATAGTAAGCTTGCTTGACTAATCTAAAGAATTATGTGACCATCTTACCTTTCAATTGCCTTCTTGTACACATTGTCTTTCGCTTCCTGTTTTAGTGTTAGTTTGAATGCTTTCTTTTGCTCCTCAGTAGGAGGATATCTTCATTCGTCACTATGAATCAATATGTTGAGCTTACTGAACTTTGAAAACCTGGAGAGGCTTTCTTCTCTTCCCGATCCTTACTACAGAATCCATTTTTGATGCAAGAGAGGCTAGAATTTAGTAGCGATTTCTTACTATTTCTCTTCAGTTTAGATGATTTTTCTTGACTTTTGTTGGACTTCCGACAGCTGATATTATTGAAGGACCTTGAATCCCAGTCTTTAGCATGGTTTGAGACAGAGTACCCTTTATTTGGCATAATTATAGGAAATTCCTTTGGGAAATTATATGTAAAGAACTTTGTATTACCTTTACTGGGTGAGTAATTCAATTTAGGCATTTTAATGCTCTTTAAGTCAGTCAATGGTCTTGGCAAGGTAGAATTTCTGCTGACAGAGTTAGGAAATTGTCGAGGGACTGCCTCACTCTTGGCCAAAACTCTAGGATAAACCTTTTGAGACTCTTTCCTTTTCATTGGTCTCTTGAATTTTGAATTTATTTTATGTAAAGATTTTATCAAGCTATTTCTGAGTTTTTAGGTCTATTAATCTGTATGCATTCCGCTATAAGATATCATTTATCTCAGATTGAAAATAACCCAAAGAAGTTATTGAATCTTACTGAAAATTTTGAATTAATTCCGATATCTTTGTCAAAGACTTTAGGTGCTTTCTCAGGACTACGAAAGAATTTTTGACTATTTTCTTAATCCAGCCTCTTTGATTGCAAAATCACAGATTCTATAGATGCGAAATTATGTGTTGTAATACAAACTAACCAACAAGCAACTGGAAGCATACCTAGGTCTGATCTTGAAAGACTCAAATGACTTCTGTAATGAGCTAAATATCGTTAATTTCAGTAATTCTTAAGCTGGTTACCTTTGAGAGTTATTCTGCCTAGACCTCGTCTGTATTTGACAACTTCTATCAAGCTTCGAGCCATAAGTCGTGCTTGGGTCTATTCCAATCTGGCTAAATTTCCTGCTATCAAAGAGAGCAATCCTAGCTGAAGGGTTCTTCTCTGTCCGTGTAAAGCTCATTTTATTTGGATGAATTAAATTCAATATTCTTTAATCAAAATGGGGTTTTGGGGTTTTGGGGTTTTGGGG